ATCAAGTAGTGTGCTAGTTGATTCGATTGTGTATTGAGTTCTTCGTAGCTCAATGTTTCTCCCTCATATTCCACTGCAATTGCACGTCCATCGTGTGCTACCTGCATCTCGAATAATTGATGAAGGCAACAAATAGGTGGATAATTGACAGTCGTTTGGTTCCAACTATATAATAGCATCTCTCGTTCTTCACGCGGCATCACCGTCAACGTTCGCACAGGTTTCTGTGGTGTGTGTGTTAGTGCATTGGAAAGCGAGACGAGAGCCTGTTGCATATAACTACAAATCCGTGCTGCTGATATAGGCGACACCACTTGAGCTGTCAAGCCCAGCGTCTCACTGTCGTCTTCCACCGATAGAGTTATTGGATAATTTGTTCGCTCCTCAGCGCTTAGGAATGTGACCCCATGGATTGACTTAGTGACCTCTGCGCTCGGCTGATTATGACGATAATTCAATAACGCATTAAAAAGTGGCAAAGTAGCTGGAACTCCGCTACAGCGTTGTGCCAACGCAAGCGATGCATGTTCATGCTCTAGCAATGCACTCAAACGTGAGTGAGTAAGACGCATGGTGCTCTCTACCGTTCTCTCATCAATATCCAGCCTCATTGGTAGTGTGTTTATCAATAGCCCCACCGTACTGGCATTTCCTTCGGAGTGTAGACGACCGAATAGTACGGTGCCGAAGACAACTGTCTTGTGTCCACTGGCTTTAGCAAGTACTTGTGCCCAAGCCAAATGACAAAGGCTGGCCAAGCTAACATGTAAATGACGTGCAAGGGATCGCAATTGATTATTGAGTTCTTGTGACAGCTTCAGGTGCCATTTGTCGACCTCAGTGCCATCGACATGAACGTTGCGCAGACCAAACGGCAAGGTCGGCGAATCAACGTCAGCCAACATTTCACTAAAGAATTGAGTATGTTTGGCTTGATAAACACCTAGACGAGCTTGTGCCACTACATTACGGAATGGAGTGGGCGTTTCTAACTTATCACTTTGTCCATCAATTATTATCTGGGCTTCGCTATACAATCTGTTCAGTGTATCGTGGTCACCAATTAGATGGTGCATTATTTGTAATGCCATCCAGCCTCCTTCAGATGTTGGTGCAGCTACCAAATGCAATAGCGGTGCCTGTTTCAGGTCAAGACGGTAGTAACGTGGGTTGAAGCGGTTGCTTAGTTGTTTTAGCACCAACTCATTGGAATCATCTAGTGTGACTTCAGTGAGTATCGATCGAACTTGACGCAAAACGACTGCCGCCGGTTCACTGAGTCCTTCCGATATAAAAATGGTCCGAAGTATATCGTGTCGTTCAATCAATTTTTGCATAACAGTTACGTAATTATCAAGTGCTACTCTGTCCTCAAATTGCAGATGATTAATCAATAAGTATAGATCACCGTGTTCAGCCATCAAATGATGGAACAAAATGCCTTGCTGTAATGGCGCTAGCCCATAAATGTCCTGAATATTAACCAAACCTCCTGGCACTTGTGCGATCAATGAATCAATTTCGGCTTGAGATAGATCGATAAGTGGCAACATGTCTGGAGTAATCATCGTGCATTCTTTAGTAATAAGGTTGGGTGGGATGCTGACTGATTTGTGCTTTCCGAGAGTTTTAGCCATTGAGGCTAAGGTGGGAGTATTAAAAACTTCTGGGGCGCTAGTGTCAAGTCCGATTTGTCGTAACTGTGACAGTAACCGTATGATTAGAAGGGAATGGCCGCCCAATGCGAAGAAATTGTCATGTCGACTGATACGTTCAATACCCAAAAGTTCACTCCATATGGCGGCTAGTTTTTCTTCCATTTCACCATTCGGAGCTTCATACGATTGACGGACGAATGCTTCATCGTCCGGAGGCGGCAGTGCACTCCTATCTAGTTTGCCATTAGGTGTGAGTGGCAATGATGATAAACACACATAAGCTGCCGGTATCATATAATCAGGTAGTAAAGATACTAAGTAGGTGCGTAGGTTCTGTGCCAGCAACGTATCTGTTTCGGCCACCACATAAGCGACTAGTCGCTCATTAGTATCTGAGCCATTTTTCCAAGGCAAAACAACCGCTTCGTGCACTAATGGATTTTCAATAAGGCGGGCTTCAATCTCTCCAGGCTCAATTCGGAAGCCACGAATTTTAATTTGTTGGTCGGTACGTCCCATATAAATGAGATTGCCATCAGATAAATATCGTGCCAGGTCTCCAGTACGATACATGCGTGCTGCTGGCATCTCACTAAATGGATCGGGAAGAAAACGTTCAGCGGTAAGCTCAGGTCGATTCATGTAGCCACGAGCCACGCCAGCACCGCCAATATACATTTCACCCTCGACTCCCAGTGGTACCGGCTCACCATGTGCATCTAGCAAATAAACTCGTGTATTGGACAACGGACGACCGATTGGTATTGAATGACTGGAAAAATTAGTCGGACATGACCAAATGGTCGCAATAACAGTGGTCTCAGTGGGACCATACACATTTAGAACCATCGTGTGTTTAGAGGCAGCTTGTAACAATGATAACGAGGGTGTTTCACCACCCAAAATCAAGACTTCCAAACTAGTTGAATCAATTAGATCTTGTGTGTTCCGGAACAGAGCGGGTGGTAGAGTTGCATGAGTAATCTTTTCAGTACTTAAATAACTAATCAAGGCAGCATCTGTCTGGCGAACTTTTTCGTTGGGCAAGCAAAGACAGGCCCCACTTGTTAAAGTCGTTACGATTTCACATATGCTTGTATCAAAAGAACAAGAAGCAAACTGCAAGACACGGCTGATCGGCGTTGTTCCAAAAACAGAACTTTGGGTACGAATCAAATTGATCACAGATTCATGTTCAACCATCACCCCTTTCGGTCTTCCGGTGGAACCAGAAGTATAAATTATATATGCCAAATGAGATGAAGTTAAACCGAGTTTTGAGGAATCCGGATTATCACTGGACAGGCCATCGGGTAACATATGGTCCAAATTTACTACAGACACATGATGATCTCCAAGTGCTTTTTGGCCAGTGGCATCTGCCAACAAATACAGTGGGTTCGCATCCACCAAAATGTTTTGTAACCGTTCACAAGTGTATTCCGGATCAAGTGGTACATAAGCGCCGCCGGCTTTCAGAATTCCCAATAGAGCTATGGGTAATTTAGTGCCTCGCTTAACGCAAACGGCGATGTGATCATCTGGCTTAACTCCTCGCGTGATCAAATGATGAGCCAATCGGTTAGCTTGTGCATTGAGTTCTTCGTAGCTCAAAGTTTCTCCTTCAAATTGTACCGCTATATCTTGTCCGCTACGCTCCACCTGTGCCTCAAATAATTGATGAAGACAACAAGCAGATGGATAATTGACAGTCGTTAGATTCCATGTATGCAACAGCATCTCTCGTTCTTTGGGCGGCATCACTGTCAATGTCCGTACAGATTGTTGTGGTGTATGTGTTAATGCATCAGCAAGTGAGAAGAAAGCCTGTTGCATATAACCACAAATCCTCGCTGCTGACAGCGGCGACACTACATGAACTATGAAACTGAGCGTATTGTCGTCATCGTCCACTGACAGATTTATTGGGTAATTTGTTCTTCCTTCACTACTGACAATATTCATGCCAGCGGATGGTTCGATGGTATGTTCGGTCTGAGATTTATGGCGATAGTTTAGCAATGCGTTGAAAAGAGGCACAGAAGATGCCACTCCACTACAACGTTGCGCTAAAGCCAGTGATGCATATTCATGAGACAGTAAAGCACTCAAACGCGAATGAGCGTTGCGTACAGCGTTTTCGACTGTAGTATCATCGATATCCAGCCGCAACGGTAGCGTGTTTATCAACATACCCATAACATTCTCATTTCCTTCTCCAGTCTGTAGGCGACCAAGTAGCACAGTACCGAATACCACTGTTTCATTTCCGCTAGCACAGGCAAGTACTTGTGCCCAGGCCAAATGACATAAACTGGCTAGAGTGACATGGAAATTACGTGCAAGGGCTCGCAATCGATTATTGAGTTCCTGTGACAGCTTCAGGTGCTCATGATCGATCTCAGTTTCATCGTCATGAATGTGGCTCAAACCAAACGGTAGGGTTGGTGTATTAACATCGCTAAGCATTTCTCTAAAGAACTGCGTGTGTTCGGCCTGACTAACTCCAAGACGAGCCTGAGCCACTAGATGCCGGAATGGTGTGGGTGTTAACAACTGTTCACTCTGTCCTTCGATAATCGTACGCACCTCTGCATTTAGTTTCTGTACAGTAACGTAGTCACCAATTATATGGTGCATCAATCTCAATACAATCCAGTTCCCTTCAGATGTTTGCGCAGCTAGCAGACGCAATAGTGGTGCACATTTGAGATCCATTCGGTAGTGAATTGAATTGTAGCGATGTGTAAGCTGCTCTAGTACTGAGTTGGTATTATCCAGCGTGACTTCAGTGAGTAAGAATGGAACGTGGCGCAAGACTACTTGTGCCAGTTCACTGATTCCTTCCCATACAAAGGCAGTGCGTAAAATATCGTGTCGTTCAATCACTTGTTGCAAAGCGGCTGCATAGCGATTCAGCATTGCTCGATCATTAAATTCTAAACTATTTATGATTAAGTACGGATCGCCTTGTTCGGCCATCAAATGATGAAATAAGATGCCTTCTTGTAATGGTGCTAATCCATAAATATCTTGAATATTGGATATACCACCAGGCACTTGTTCGACCAGCACATCAATCTCTTGCTGCGATAGATCGATAAGCGGCAACATTTCTGGACTAATAACTGTGCTTTCAACGGTAATCAGATTGGGTGGAGTACTGATTGCTATATGATGGCTCAGAGACTTAGCTAATACAGCTAATGAGGGTGCATCAAATACTTCCCGAACGTTGGTGTCCAGTCCACTTTGTCGCAATTTTGACAGCATCTTAACGATTAGAAGAGAATGGCCACCCAATGCAAAGAAATTGTCATTTCGGCTGATTCGCTCAATACCCAACAGTTCG